TAAGAAACATTAAAATGCAGTTTCTTCACTTAACAGAACCATTAAAACAAAAACTGAATTTACAGGAATATTCCTCTTATTTTCTCTATTTGCAACACTGAATACCTGTCCAAGTATGTGATGACAATGATCTTTCTCCTTGAGGAATGTATAGGACTACCTGGAGTTGTCCCAATGTGAGGATTATTAATCAGAATTTGGTGGATGACTCTAAACATGGGCCAATCCTGTCTAAAATGCCACTAGCATTATGGTTCAGAAGCACTAACTAGTACAAACTAAAGGTGAAGTTAACAGGCCAGGCTGGATCAGAAAGCTCAGTGGTTAAGAGCACTTGCTTGCTGCTCTTGAAGAACCAGGTTCAGTTCCCAACACTCACATGGTGGCTCACAGCTCACCAGTAACTCCAGTTCCAGGGCCTTTTCTGACTTCCACAGGCACCAGGCAAATGTGGCATATATAACATACATTCAGATGAAACATTCATACACAAAATAAAAATATCTGCTTTAAAAAGTTACTACACCAGTTAGCTGGGTTAGCTTATAATAACTTCCTCTTCATTCAGTCTGCTTTAAATGCTTAGGAAACGCCTGCCTTTCCCCCACATGGCAGCTTTCATTGACACTGAATTCACAGATTCTCATGCTTTTGCTTCTCAAGTGCTGAGATTAAAGGAATATATCACAACTGGCATCAGACTTTTTCTATAGAAAGCCAGTATTATATCCGCCCAATATTCTATTTTCCAATGCACACCATGTTCCTCACTTTAGAACTATAGCTAACAAGCCTCTTGAATCCTGCTGTAACAGAAGTACCTCTCCTCCACTGACCACCTGACTCAATTCTTTGAGCTGAGTAAATGTACAGCACATTTGCACAAGTATATTGATTGAAGCACACTTCTCACTGGAGCATGCTCTTTCATTATCCAGATCATAGGTAACAGGAGTCCACTGATGCATGTCTGAGATACCGATACTTGGGAGGCAGAGGCAGGAGGATCAGGAAGGACCAGAAGCTACCCTGGGATATATGTGGCCTTACCTCAACACAAAAGGAAAATTTCAGCTCACCTTGGTTTAATGCCTGAGCTCTTTCCAAGAACACCACACTAATGCTGTGTTAAAAACATCGATGACAGCAAGGCATAGCAACGCACACCTTTTATCCCAGGTCTCAGAGGCAGAAGCAGGCGGATTTCTGAGAGTTTGAAGGCAGCCTGGTCTATAGAATGATTTTTAGGACAACCTGGGGCCTTGTCTCAACAGGGAAAAACAAAACAAAACAAAACAACAAAACAAAACAAAACAATGAAATGGAATCAAATGCAAATTAATTTGTAGCTAAAATGAAATATAGTTCTATATCCAAACAGTGAAAACAATGCACCTTCAGATAGATTACTATCTGCTCAAAGACACACTACAAAAGGTACTTAGTCAAAACTATTGCTATTACTACGAAAAATCAAGTACAAAAGAAGGGGACAGGAATTACACACCTGTGCCCCAGCATTTGGGAGGTGGAACAGAAGAATGAGTAGTTCCAGGCCAACCGGGGCTAGATGTGTCAAAGGAAGACTTATTGCCAACCAAGGGACTGGTGGACTGCAGAGGCCCTTTGTAAAGGCTCGCTGTGGCATGTTAGTCTTGCTCTCGACCAGTGGTCTTTATTCTACAAGTTATGGCAACAACCACAGAATTTCTGAAGCCCTTAAGTTTAAGGTTAAAAAAAAAAAAAACTAACATAAATGAGAATGCTAAGCTCTATAAACATGCTAGGCAGTGTGAGCTAGCCTGGTCTACAGAGTGAGTTCCGGGTCAGCCAAAACTACAAAAAGAAACTTCTGTTGTCTCAAAAATATATATATGTGTACATACATGTACATGTGCATACATGTGTGTATATTTATATATACACACACGTATGTCAGCACTCAAGGTGCAGAGGCAGGCAGACTTCTGAGTTTGAGGACAGGCTGTTCTACACAAGAAACCCCATCCTGAAAAACAAAAAAAATAAATAACAAATAAATAAACACACAACGATGATTCTTTTAATACTAGCACTCAGGAAGCAGAGGCAGATCTCCGTGAGTTCAAGGTCAGCCTGGTCTATACAGTGAGTTCCAGGACAGCCAGGGAATCAAAGTGAGACTGTCTCAATAAAATAAAATAAAATCCTGCTCTGTTGTGAATGTGGAATTAAGAGTAGCCGCCTTGCTCTCAACATTCAGGATGCAGAGTAATATTTCTTGAGATATGATCCAGTATCTGCAAAGTAAAGGGAAAAGGATCCTGTAGCTCTGAGCTGAAAACCTGAGGCTCCAACTCCAGCACAAGTGAGACTCACTTATTGCCAAAGAACTGTGATTGACACCTTGAACACCAGCTCCCCTTGCTGCTCCCTACTCCTCCAGCTAGACAGTAGACAGAAGCCCAAGCCACACTTACAGAAAAGCAGTTCTGGGTTTTTCCAGACAGCATCTTGCTATGCAGCCCTGGCTGGGCAGCAACTCAATATATATGCCAGGCTGGCTAAAAACTTGCGGCAGTCCTCCTGCCTCCGACTCCCCAGTGCTAGAATTACAAGTGTGTACCATGCCCAGCTTATAGAAGCAGTTTCTTTTTCTTCTTCTTCTTCTTCTTCTTCTTCTTCTTCTTCTTCTTCTTCTTCTTCTTCTTTTCTTCTTTCTTCTTTCTTCTTTCTTCTTTTTCTTTTTTTTTTTTCCAGACAGTGTTTCTCTGCATAACCACCCTGGCTGTCCTTGGAACTTACTCTACAAATCAGGCTGGCCTCAAATTCAGAGATCCACCTGCCTCTGCCTCCCAAGCGCTGGGATCAAAGGTATGCCACCATGCCAGGCTCAAAAGCAGTTTCTAAAGCACAAGCTGCAAGTGCAGGAGCCCTTGAAGCTGTCCTAACTAGTTGAGTTTCACCAAAAGATTTGATTCAAAAACACTGTGCTCCTCAAAGAACTTTCCCTTCCCCTCTACATGTGACTGTGGAGACTACATAGGTAATCAGCAAAAATTCCATCTGAAGTCAGAAAACATAGAAGTTTGGCTTCTCTGCTTATAGTGCAATGCATCTAAATGGGTTACTATTTACATAATGAACAGCATTTTCAACTGCTGTCCTTCAAAGAGCCAGGAGAACAAAATAAACACGAAAGCAGGCAACAGATGACATTACAAAGGATAAATGGAAAAGACTACGATTTTGGCAAGAGTCTCCCCCAACCATCTTCAGAATGACCCAGCATTGTGTACTTCAGGTCTACGCACAGCACTGGAATAATTACCTTGGGGGGGGGGGGGGGCACGTGCAATGCAATCTTCCTTTCCCTTGAGTATTCCCCCTGGATTCCTCAATGTGGACAGAGGACGCCCCCAATCCTTCAGTGGACTGCAGGATGTGTGTCCCCCTGAGCTAGTCTCAGCGACTTATCACCTTCCACATCTTCACAGAACTACTTCTAAGGCCACAGTCTATAATCTTCTCTGGCTCTTCTTCGCGCCCTTCAGTCTCACCCAGCTCTCCCCACATGCATTCATCTCTGCCTGTCTGTCCACTCCCGCCTGCCACACCTTTCTCAGGCCAGGCCCCTGCAATTTCTGGAAACGTGTATTCCTCCTCTGTTCCCTCAATTTGGAATGTTCTTTCCGTGCCTGTTGTTCCCTTTTCACAGGATCCTCTTTTCAGACCTTAGGTGCTCATGCACTCGGCAGAGCCTCAGACTCTTCCACAAAGGTCACATTCCTGGGGACGTCTCCGCACCACTCTCTTACTCCTTCAACCACGTTTACCCCGTATGTATAACATTTCCAGTTTTCCAGACACGGTCTCACTATTTAGCTCTGGCTGGCTTTGCCTCTCAAGCTCTAGGATTACATGTGTGTGCTATGACATGCTACTTGGACCTATCTCCTTCATATCTGTCGTAAGCTCTGTGAGAGCAGAGACCCTACCTGTTTCCAAGGCCTTAGTGTCCCCACATGTGGACACTGGTGTGGAGCGTGCTCTATCAGCAGGTATCACCAGACCTCAAAACTACTTCACACTTTTTCCACAATGCAGCCTCCTACAAACCTGGCCTTTGGCACCCCTGAAACATGTCTTCTCTCTCGTGAGGCCTTCAAATACCGGGGCTTTCACTGAAAATAAAGTTCTTCTCGGTTCTCTCCAATCCTACTGACTTGCCAAAACCCAAATTCAAGTTTTCTTTCCTCCAAGGCATTTCCTCCGCTTTCTGTTTTTTACATCTTTCCCTGTGACTTATTTTCCCACCATTAATGTAACCTTCTAGGGCTGGACTAGTCACACCCCACCGCTCCACTCCCGGGGTAGCAGTAATTATTACTGAGCAGACAATTTTCCCTTGACACATTACATTTCTGCCTCTACAAAGAATACTAGCTTCCCTTTATGCCTCATAGGTGATTCGATTTGCCTTATAGGAGACTTTGTCCGCAAGTGCCCCCCCCCACACACACACACGGGTTTTTGCTTTGACTATTCTAGTGAAATGGTTTTAGCTGCGTGTGTTCCTGTTCTGTCCACTGCCTACAATGACCTTGTATCCTCTATGATTGACCCCAGACTGCAAAGTAGGCACCTCTTCCCTGAAAACTGTCGTTCCCTCTACTCACGTGCAGTTGGGAACACCCAGTGGAGACTGCACACACACCAGCCCAGATCCTTATCTGAGCCATTATAATTCTATCACTTTCCACCCTCTCACAAGTGACCAGGACTCGATGGGACTCCCACCCAACAAGAAGAATCCGAACCTCTTCCTTCTGCCACTGAGTTCCCCGCCAGGGGCCCTTTCCCTTCCTTCTTCCAAACACACCAACCCTAGGCCCCGAGATGCGGAGAACCGGCGCCCAGGCCGGCTGCAGCTCCGACGCCACAGTCCAGGGGCCCGCGCCCGCCCCCATCCTTCCCCGGCGGCCACTGCAGGGCCAGCTCCCGGGCTGTCGCTCACTGACCCGGGAAGGTGTCTCAGGAGGAGGCGGCGGCGGCGGCGGCAGGTGCGGAGGCAGGAAGCCTGACAGACGTTAACCGCTCAGCGCTCCATCCCTCCGGGACCTAAGCTCCGGCCTCTCGGCTTCCTCGACCCCTGCGCCCACAACAAGTCACGTGCCAACCCGAGCAGTCAGCTGACCGCGGCGCACGCCGCTCCGCCTACGCGCGCCCAGCGCTGCGCGCCTGCGCGACGCGGCGGGCCTCCGGAGAGGGCGGGGCTGAGAGCGCGCAGAGCGGACTTCCGGGTGGGCGGGGCCGGCCGCTGCTGGTGCACCTGCACCGCCACGCCGGCACCTGGGAACGTCCAGCTCGCCTAAAGTTGCCCGCAGGTTTCCGCGATTCACTCCTCCAACCTCTGGCACCAACTTTTGCACTGCAAGTTTTGACGGTCCAGTTTTCGGGGAAATCTTTCTAATAGTTCACTTCAGCAGATTCACACTTTTCATTCAATCTGGTACCACTTTGTTCCGTAAAGAGTTCAGGTTTAGTTATTGAGGACTGAACAGATTAACACTGTTTTTTTAGGATTAGCTAGTAGAGTGACACCTTGCAAGGAACTTCATGTCTGGTTTAAGGGTACCAAAATGGACACAGGAAGTAAGGAAGGTTTCAGGACCCAGGCATGGACAGGGAAACCATCAGCCTTGGGTTGCAGAGTACTGAATATCAAGCTGCTCTCTCAAAGCATGCACATCTCATTGGTTGGGAAGTTAGGTGATACAAATCTCAGAATTTCGCCATCTTGGGGATTGTGGGAATTTCTGTATTAATCATGTTAAGATTTACAACTGTGCAAATTGAAGGGTCAGAGGTCCTGGAACTGTTTGCACTAAGGAATGGCACTCCTGTTACTAAGTCCTAGCTGTCTTCACTAGTGTGTGGAATAATAGCTTTTCATTGTCAGTTTGACTGGCTTTAGAATTACCTAGGAGATGGCACTCTTAACGACACTCTGCTATGTTTGCAGATGGGAGCCTAGCATAGCTGTCCTCTGAGAGGCTTCTTGGCAACTGACAGAAACAGAAATAGGAGGACCCAGAGGGAACAGGAGCTCCAGAAGAAGACAGACAGAGCCAACTAACCTGGGCCCAGGTGGGCTTTGGGAAACTGAAGCACCAACCGAGGATCATGTATGGGCCAGATCTAGGGCCCCTACACATATGTTCTCCACGGACAGGTTGGCCTTCATGTGTAAGGATGCTGTCTCTGACAAGGATTCTCTTGCCTGCCTTTCAATCACTCCCTCCCCGCAAAGGGGCTGCCTTGTCAGGCCACCATGGCATACGTATCAGGCCACCTGCTACTTCTTGACATGCTGGAATGGATAGGTGGTGGGGAGGCTCCCCTTTTCTGATGGGGAGGAAAGGTGGGATACAGGGAAGAGGGAAAGAGGGTGGGACCAGGAGGAGAGGAGGGAGGGAGCTATGTTTGGGATGTAAAGTGAATGAATAAATTAATAATAGGAAAAAGAAGAGGAAGAAGAATTACCAAGGAGACAAGCCTCTAGGTATGTTTTTGAGAGAGTTTCCAGACAGGTTTAACTTAAAACACTCACCCTGAGTATGGACATCACCGTCTTTTGGGCTGGGAGCCAACACAGAAAATTTTTTCCCAAGGGGTGGAGAGATGGCTCCAACGTTAAGAATGCCCATTACCAGCCACCACGCGGAGTACCTGTGACTCCAGCTAGCTGCAGGGGATCTGATGGCTTCATCTGGCCTCCTCCAGAACCTGTAATCATGCGCTCTCTCAGAAAGACAAACACTCATACAATTACAACTAAAATAAATCTTAAAAAATAATAAATAAGGGCTAGAGAGAGAAGGCTCAGTGAGTAAAGGTACTTGCCACCAAACCTGACGGCCTGAGTTGGAGCCCTAGGACCACAGAGAACCAGTTACTCAAGATGGTCTCCATCTCCGCATGCACATTGTAGCACCCACAAATGAACACATGTAACAAAGATTGTTAAATAAATAATACCTGAGGAGAAAGCTAACCACCAACATCCGTCTCTCTCAGCTTCCTGACTACCAATGCAATGTGACCAGCTCTCTGAGACCCCTGCCTTCAGAGCTAGAGTTACTCTTAGCACCCTACTAGAAACTGAGAGCTAAACCTTTCTGTATTCATTACTTTTCTATTGCTGTGATGATAAAATGCCATGACCAAAGCAACTTATAGCAGAAAATATTTATTTGGGCTTACATTCCAGAAGATAAGAGTCCATTGCCATCACAGCAGGGAAGTGTGGCCGCAGTCAGGCATAGCAGCTGGAACAGCTGAGAGCTCATAAATCAAACCACAAGCAAGAAGCAGAGAGCAAACTGGAAATGGTGAGTCTTTGAACTCTCAAAGCCCATCCCACAGTGAGCGCTTCCTTTAGCAACGCCACACCTCCTAAGCTTTTCCAAACAGTCCTACGCCACACCTCCTAAGCTTTTCCAAACAGTCCTACGAACTAGGGACCAAGTATTCAAATGCCTAAGGCTGGGCATATATCTCTCTCAAACGACAACAGGTTCCTTCCTTAATTTGCTTTTGTCAGTATTTTGTGGCAACAACAAGAAGGGCAAATAATACACAAAATTGTTAGCAAGGGATGGGACCTTAATTCTAATAAACCTGAATATATGTTTCTTAAGCCTTTGAAACTGGTTTGCAAGAGCAATGTGGGAGAGTTTGGAAGTGTGGGCTACAGCAGCTCTAGAATGCTGTAAGTAGAGTTTAATGAGGGGGTCCAGAAGACCAGAATGCCCACAGACATGTAAATGAAGTCCTGACTCACTAGGTTTCAGAGGGGAACAAGGATTAATTGGGAACTAGACTAGGTCCTTTGTATCGGATTCTGGAAAAGAACTTGGCTGCATACTGGCTGTGACCTGACATTTTAGATTTTAAAATATAAGGTTAAGCGCGAAAGTAATGGACTAAATTATCTGGCAAGGGATTTTATGACAGTATAACATCCAGCAATATATGAAAAATGCAATATATGAAAAATGGAGTTTGATTGAAGGATCTTGAACATACTTAGAATGGCAGGCAGGGTAGGTGTAGAGAAAGCAGGTGTCCATAAATTGAGAATCCCAATTTATGGAAATACAAATTGAAGGGACTCTAGCCAGCCTGAGTATGGTGGCAGGGCTCTGGTGAGCCTTGCCCTTCCCCTCTGTTCCCTCTGCCTTGCTAAGAACCATTAGATTACATTCCTAAAGCTAGCCACCAAGGTCTATTCCCTTATTTGGTCACTTCCTCCTCCTGAGACTGACTACCAAGGTCCAGCTATCAAAGTATTAGAGTCCAGCAATAAAAAGCCCCCATTGACTCACCTAATTAACATGCCCAATTAAAATCAAACACAGGGTTCCCCCTGTACTGTCATAGACTGCCATTTTCCTAAGGGCCATGTCTATTTCCTCTCCATCCAGAGGCAGTCCTCTGCTCCCTCCCCCCCCCCCCCCCCGGACAAAGACCCCTTCCTTGCCCTCTTCCTTGTTTGTGACAAAGACCCCTTCCCTGCCCTCTTCCTTGTTTCCTCTCCCTTCTGCCTCATCCTCCATCTAATGTCTTTGTTTCTTATTCTCTGCCCTTTGTCCCTGCATACATAAATCTCCTTTGTGCTGAGAACTTGGTCTTGGAGTGGTCTGAGCTGATACTGATCACTTCATAAATTCACTGGGCAGGAGAGAACCTGAGGAGAGTATTGCTGATGGGAGGGAGGGGTCCTTCTTCAAAAACAGCTACTTAAAGGGCTAGAGGGATGTGTAGAAAAATCACTGAGCGACTTAGAGTGGGTGGTTAGGGGAGGGAGGTCAGCTGCAGATTGGATGTACTACAGCCAGGAAAGGATGGGTTGGAGCTCCTTCTGAGCTTGAAGGATGTTAATGTGAGTAAAGACTGATCTGGAGGCAGGGACAAGCTAGCGAGAGACATGTAGATTGGCTACAGAGTAGGTGGCATAGCCATTAGGGTAGAGCTTACCCACGACTCCTATTCTCCAATGTTCATCCAAGTGATGAGTGATGGAAAGCTAAAACTAAGTGTTAATGTTGGCAAGCATGGTGCCACCACGCCTGGCAGATTCAGTTTGGCATCTCCAATATCTGCAGCCTCCATTTATGGAGGCCTCCTGGAGGCAGGCACCTGTGTTGCCGTAAGGAAAGCAGAGGAAAGGGCTGGGGACAGTGGAAATGGAATTGGGTGTAGGGGGATCTCATTCCTGGTCTGACATCCTTCAAGTGGGCAGTCTTGGGTTCCTATAACTTTTTTATTCTGTTGTAGGTCTCCCTAGGACAGAACCTTCAGCAGTGAGTGTTAGGAGGGCTAGGGAGAGGCTGGGCAGTGGCAGGGTTGGGATGAAGAATTATGAAAATGGCTATAAGAATAGGGGAAAGGGAAGCCTGTGGAGGGCATATGGCCTAGGTGGCAGCTACCAGATCATAAATGCCATTCCAAGAGATCCTGTTGTTCTGTTGAAGGGACATCTCCTCTGACTCCTTTGTCTTCTCTGACTTACCAGCAAGAGGTGGGGCATCTTTTCAGTTGGGAGGTGGTGTCAGACATTTCTAGCAGGGACCCAAATAGGCCTAGACTGGTCCTATGGAAAAACACAAACAAAACACCTGGTGGTAAAGAGGGGGTCTGGTCCCTTCCCAATTCTATCTAAGGGACCTTCCAATTGTACTAGGACAGGAGGGCTTAATCCTGGTGTGTGCCAATGGAGGGAGATAGGAGGGTGTTTGGAGCTCATGTAAATGTTAAATATATGGTAGTCAGAGCCATCATTAATTGTATGTTGGGGAAGTAAGCATATGTTTTTTGTTATAGAAGTTGAGCTTTAGGGTTCAATGTGTTCTTTCTATTATCCCTCGGCCCTGAGGATTGTGGGGAATCCCTCTGTGATGGTAATTTCCCATAGTGAGCAAAAGGTTTTGAAATGGGAGCCAGTCAATGCAGGGGCATTGTCAGTCTTTATTTGTTGAGGAATGCCCATGATGGCAAAGGTGGAAAGCATATGGTGAACCAATCTTTTTGGGTTTTCTCTCGTTTGGGCCCATATAGAATGTGAGTATGTGTTTACAGTTACAAAGACATTTTTGTCCACCAAATTGAGAAATGTGGGTAACCTCAGTTTTCCA